CGGTCTTTTCTTTTTTTTTCCATCCCTAAAAATTCCCCTGGTACGTCCTTTGTTTTTTTCCCAGCTCGTTAATGAACATTTCCTTTTCTTTTTGGTCCCAGGGCCTTTCCGGGATAAAAAAAACAGTTTTTTCGCTTTGGAAGCCGCAATCCCTTTAAAATTTTTTTTTTTGTTCTTTTCCCTCCTTTTTTTTTGGTGGAGTTTCGGAAAGCCTTTTTTCCCGGGCCCAAATTTTGCCTTAAAGTTTTGTCCCGCCACCCTTTGGCCCATTTGGGAAACCCTGAAACCTTTTTCTTTTTTTAAACTTTCGTTCCATTAGGGGGGGGGGGGGGGGGGGCTAAAAAAAGAGGGAGAGAGAGGCACCTCCTTCTCACTGAAGCAGGCAAAACCGGATCGTCTTTCGGAAACACAGTTTTTGGGAAACACAATAGAAGATGCAGCAACACAGGGGCGTAACAGACGACGACGCTGGACCAAAATCAAAACAAAGCTACACCGGAACAAGGCAAAACGATAGTCTGCACGAAACCAACAAACCAAAAACTGCACCATACATACATGCTGGATATAGAAGTATTACCTCTTCGTTCCAGCCTAGGTCCCTGAGATCATTCAGAGCCTCCTGGCCCTGTGCAAGAGCCAGGTCGCTGCCGTCCATCTCCCCAGCCTGAGCGTTGCAGCACGCCATGATGAGGTTGTCCACCATACCCTGCACACACAAGCGCATCCAACAACAGCACACGGAGGGTTGGTTTCTTGGTGAGAAAAAACGGCTCTTGATTTACGGAAAATAAATGTGTGACGGAAATGCAGCAAGCCAAAAAAAAAAATATATATATATATATATATTCACGAGAGCAAAAAAAAACATGCATGGATTAACGTGCGCGTGTCGCTTGGTAGTTTCATGTTCCGTTTCGTGTTAAACCAGTACATCTTTAATAGATACCTCGTCTGGGACGATCTTGAAGTCTTGCCGCATCGACTCGTAGAGCTTGATGGCCTTGCGGCCAGCCGGCGCGTCGCCCCTCCTCGACAGGCCTAAGACCACCGTGGCGAAGGAGACCTGCCAGCCACAAGAGTTACAAGAGTTACAAGAGTAAGAGGTATATACCAACGTGCTCGTGGTCGTCGTCGTGTGTATTTGTTGCTGGTGCAGTGATCATTGCGTTGGTGTTAGCGTTGGTGTTAGCGTTGGTATTGATGTTGGCGTTGGTATTGTGTTGGCGTTTTTTCGTCGCGGTGATTCTTTACAGGGTGGCCAAATTTAGCGTGTTGGAAATTCTGCTGCAATTCTTTTGTACCTTTCTCTCGACGCAAAGCAGGCAGAAAAAAAAACACTGAGCAGATGCTGCTGTAGACAGCGGTGGCGGGAGGGGGGCAAGTAGGCAGGACGCATCAACTTGTTCCACCAAGAGGATAAAACAAAGACTATGCCAGGTCTACGCGGGTATGCATACGTGCAGCTCAAGAGACAACTGGAGCAGGAACAATTTTTCAAGACCAATCTTTTGGTCAGCCCCCCCTGTCCATGCCACCATGCTTCGTCCTCTCGAGGACGCGTGGCGAACGGTCTAACCGCTAGGGCATGCAAAGCATGAGTAACCTCCCCCCCCCCCTTGCCCCAACAAAAAACATGTCCCCTTCCAGGCGCGACACACTCCCTCACACAGCAACAGCAGATACACAACCAAAGTACCTGGTTTGGCCAGACGTCCACCACCACGCCCTCATCCCTGCCTCGGCCTCGGCCTGGCCCCGTCACACCCGCGGAACCCCCCTGCTGCACCCTCTCTCGTTCTTCCGTCATGTCCACACCTTCTCGAGCAAAAAGGTGACGTTTCGACAAAACCGACGTTTCGAGAAAAAATAAACAGCAGTAGACACGGGCAGGTGAGAAGTCAAGATACAGTGTCAAAAGCGGTGTAAGACGAGGTGTATGGTGTTGAAATCTATTGGATACGGCAGTCATCCCTCGGTTAAGACAGCAGTCATGCCTCGTTTAAGACAGCAGTCATGCCTCGGTTAAGACAGCAGTCATCCCTCGGTTAAGACAGCAGTCATCCCTCGTTTAAGACAGCAGTCATCCCTCGTTTAAGACAGCAGTCATCCCTCGGTTAAGACAGCAGTCATGCCTCGGTTAAGGACGCCATTTTTGAGGACACTCCCCCGTTTAAGGACAACTTGTTTTTCACAGGCACGGTGGCTCGCAGAATGCACAACATAAGGAGGGTTATCATATCAACCTTAAGGACATTCCCCAGCATAAGAAGGACACCTGTTTAAACGAAAAACCGGGCGTGTCCTTAACCGAGGGACGACTGTAAATGCGTCGGTGAAGTAAGTCGTCAACACCAGGATCTCGATGGAAAATTGAAACAAATGACGGGAGGGAAGGTAGAACGCGACGGGAATAAAATCAGTTTCAAACCAAAAATAAAAAAACAAAATAAAAAAACACGAACAAGAGCCCTGCTTAAGGTGTGCACCAAAGAAAGGTCTTGTTCTTTGCTGGATCGAAAACAGCAAGCGATTATTAGGCTACACCCCACCACGACGAGACAGCAGCGAATTCAGTGAGGCAGCTGCATCTGCTCGTTGAAAAGCTGCGCTACGTCAATTTGTCTGCCTGCCCGTCTGCCTTGTCTTGTCTGCTTGCCTGACCTTCCCTCTCATGATTCTTTGCATGTTCTCTGTCTCACCGATGCCACTACCCGGAGCGGCGGCGGCGCAGATCGCAACCGCCCCGTCGCCCGCCCCGCCCCCCCAGGGCCTCCTGGTCGAAGACAAGGACAACCAGTCCTGGTGACGGACGAAGATCGGTCGCCTACTCAGGGCTGAGGCGCTCGCCTGAATGAGAGTTGCGAGAGAGAGAGGGAGGGAGGGACGGAGGGAGGGAGAGAGAGAGAGAGGGAGGGAAGAGGGGGGCAAGGATGACATAAAACGAGAGAGCCCAGCACCATGAGTGGGAGAAGGAAAAAAAAAACTTGGCAAGCGAGAGAGAGAGTGAAGAGATTGAGAGAAAAACAATAATCAAAACACAAGATAACACCCCACCACTACCACCACAACCACCACCACCACCAACGTCAAGTCAACCCAGCCTAAGATAAAAAAAAAACATGTAATGGATACTTGAAGTACATATTTGGCGACCGTCACCAATGATATGTATCACCTGCTCGAGGATCTCCACCGCTCTCCGGAGATCTCCGTTCCGAACGCACGCGTCAAGGATGGAGTTGAGGGCAACGACGTCTGGCCGCTGGTCGCGGTCGGCAGCCATGACCTCGAACATCAGCTCCGCGGCCCCGAGGTCTCCTATCCTCCCGTAGCCCTTGAGCATCACGGTGAAGGAAACCTGTCAAAAAAAAAAAAACACGAAAAAAAAACGAAAAAAAAATCACGACGTGAACGTTGGGAACGGTGTTTGAAAGGGAGATATTGCATTGTGCTGCTCGGGAAATCGTGGAAATACAGGTAGCCTTTCCTGACGCTATGGATCCATTGCAAACAAATTTTAGATTATTTCCTTACATAGAGATGGTAGATAGAGATGGATTCGTTGGGGTACATTAAGAAAAAAATTAGGGAATGAAGTAGACGACGGGCATGCTACATCCGATCTGTTCAGAAAAGAGAACTCCGATGAACGTGTTCGTCAACGAAGCAAAAAAGCAAAGACGGGGGGCACACGAATTTCACGCACCGAGCCAAATGGCTGGCGGGCGTCCTCATTCCTGTTGAAACATGTGGCCAGCACGTACGCCCCCAAGGGTCGGAAACAAACCACCGGACCAACAAAACGCCACGTGGAAAACCCAGACTTCACTAGAATGCTTTTTATAAGGCAGGTTTAGTACCTGGTTCGGCTTGAGACCCCAGCCGGTCATGAGCTTCAGGAGCGTCTCCGCCTCCCGTACCCTCGGGGGAGAGCAGGACACGAGCCCGTCGATGATGGAGTTCATCGTAACTTCGTCGGCCGGTACCCCTCTCCGACGCATCGAAAGAAGAACCTTCGGCGGGAGAAAAAAAAACGAGAAAAAACGAAAAAAAAAAAAACGTGAAAAAAAATGTACCACGGAGTACATACGCACTACAGCTACAGCAGTAGTATAATTGAAAAACGAAGACGGTAGAACATAGTGGGGTGTGTGGTAGCGGGGGGAGAAGAGGTAGTAATGGCAGCAGGAGCTCCAAAACAGGCAGGTATAAGAGTGAGCATGGGGGTGACGAAGGGGGGCACAGCAGACTGCCGGTAACCGACCACACAAGGAAGGGGCCGTTGTACGTGGAGCACCAAGAGAGAGAGAGAGAGAGAGAATGAGAGAGAGAGATTCTGCATCCTAAAATAAGACATGTCGCGAAGTGTGCGTCCCGTTTTCTTTAGGCAAGGCATGTGACGAAAGGATTCTCTGCAGCCTGTCGTAGCAGAGATTAGCAATCACGGCCAGAACGAAACATGAGCCACCGAAAAACAACGCCGTCCGGCCTAACAAAAGCAGGCCGTATCATGCCCAAGAAAAACACGCACCCAAGCCCGCGAAAAGCATCCCACACCACTCCCCTGTCCCGCGCAAAGACAAAAAACTGCTGCTGCCCGACAATTCCGCGCAGCAAAAAAACTCTCAAACTTACCCGCAAAGCTTCTTGGATGCCCTCGGGGATTGCACCTCCGTTGACGCTATCGCTGCTGCTGCTGCTGCTGCTGCTGCCGCTGCCGGCGTAGGAGGCCGGCAATATCTCCGGAGGCGATTCGACCCCAGGGGACGCTTCGTCGCCGTCCCCTCCTCCTCCCCGGCACGAAAACGAGGCGACAGTCTCGTCGTCGTTCCGGGCCGACGGACCCGGGGCAACGTCGGTCTTTTTACCCGCCGGATCTTTGGAGGAGCTAGGATCTTTGAAAGAACCACCGATCTTTTCACCCGTCGGATCTTCCGCAGCAGGATCTTTCGAGGAACCGTCGGCCTTTTTACCCGTCGAATCTTTCATCGAGGAGTTAGGATCTTTGGACGGGGGGGAGGAGGGGGAGGAAGTACCCCTCTCGTAGAAGTAACCCCCGGGTCTCGTTGCCATCCCTGCCGAGCGGCCCTCCCCACCACCACTGCCACCATCCGGCGAGGGCAGCAGGTCCTCATCGGCGAAGATCCCGATGTCCATGTCCATCTCCTCCTCGAGCCCGACAGCGCCCGTGTCCCGGACGGCGGCGGCGTCGTTGCCCATGCGGCAGAGGCCGCGGATGAGCGTGTTGTACGTGAAGGCGGACGGCTGCATCGCGGGTGTCTCCGCCCCCCGCGCCTTGATGGTTGGTTGACGGACCGATAGAAAGATAAGATAGATTCAGAGGTTTTCGGCAAACACATTAGTTGTCGCTCATCGGGATTGCTGTTCGGTGTTACATCGTAACGCTGGACCGTTTATTTTCGTGTGTGTTTGGTTGTGTGGGATGCATAGGTTGGTCTGAACGATGGTCCGTTTATTCTCCTATGTGTGGGATGCACAGGTTGTTGGCTTGACAACAGTGGAAAGAAAAGGAAAAAAAAGGAAAGAAAAGGCAAACGCACCTCCAGAGCGCTGAAAAGTCTTCTGGCACCATCCATATCCCCCGCATTAACGCACGCCGAAATCAGCCCCGTGTAGGTCACGACGTTAGGCTCCACTCCCGCCGTCACCATCTGGACAAAAAACAAACAAACACGTGTGTGTGTGTGCGTGAGGCGGTGCGATGTCAAACATAGGGGTTTGCGGTTGAAAAGGCGAGGCAAAGTAGGGGAGGGGTGATAAGTCATGGAGAGCACGGTGCTATCGCCTACAACCGACGGGGCCCCGGAAGTATCAACTCGACACAATTTAGTCATCGTGCACATGTGATTCAACTCCCGTCTCTGTTGCAAAAATAAAACCCTGCCCTAAAGGTCACGGGAGTGAGCCAAAAGTGAGAATCGACACGAACACGAACAGGAGGAAACGTACATAAGCCTCTTGAGCTCCGCGAATCTTCTGTCGCACGTGCGTTACCTTGGGGTTGGACAGACTAGTATACCTACCTATCTCTCCGTGCGTGCTCCCTGTTGTACAAAACCGCGACTTTGCACTTCTACTCTAGCAGGGAGAGGACGAGCAGAAAATAGTCTTACCAACAGTGCCGTCTAATCGCGGGCAGGCCAAAAAGGTAAGGTCAAAACGCTTCGAAAAAAAAACGTACTTCGTTATACAGTATGCATGTGTGCAGGAAACGCGGAAAACGAGCACCTGCTGGAAGACCGCGAGGGCGCGGTCCTTGTCTCCAACTCCTGCGAACCCGGTAAGCACCGACGTGAACGCCTCCACGGACGGCCTAACGAGACCCGTCTCCTTCCCCGCTCCTCCCGGACTCGTGCCCTCAACGCCGCCGCCGGCGTCCGCCCCTGCCTCTGCCGTTGCTGCTGTTGCCGCCGAGCCGGCGTCGCAGCCGGGTTGCGGCGGCGGCGGCAGCGGGAACAGCGTGGGGTTCTTGAGGAGGTTGTACGCGCGGTCTAGGTTTCCGGACCTCACGCAGATGTCCACCAGGGAGTTCGTAGTCACCTGCATGCAAGACGTGTTTGGGGGGCGGGGGGCGGGGGGGTGAGCGTGTGTGTGCACAAAAACACAATCGCCGTGCGGACTAGATACCCTTCGAGTGAGACGTTCTTCTTGTGTTCGGCCATGGCTCGTCGTTCTACAGACGGAACGTGCCCGTTCCCCCTCCGCGCAAAACACAGGACGCGGGCTAACAGAAGCGGCGGCGGCTCTGCTGGAAGTTCCCCAGCTGCGATACACTCCTTTTCTTCGCGCGGGGATGGCGTGCTCCGTGACAACGTTCGCGTTGCCGGCGGCCGGGGGCACGAAACCATCGACGAGCGCAGCGGGCGCCAACCAGAAGAAAAACAAAACACACCCGACAGCAGGAGTGATTGTTGTCACACACGGAGAACTCAATCGATGTCTTTCGGTTGCTTCCTGAGGTTTCACCTCGTCGGGCAAGCACCCCTTGTCCAGCATTCCCCGGGCGACCCCGAACGCCTCATCGACGAGCAACTCCCTCCCCAGCCCCTTGATCAGGGTGTTGTAGGAGAGGGTCTGAGCAATGGAGCCCCCTGGAGACTCCTCCATTCTCCGCAGGACGGTTCGGGCCTTGGAGAGCTCTGCACACCTGTTGGTTGGTCGTCGGGGGGAGGGATTGTCTTCTGTCAGAAGAGCTACTACATAGTGCGCGGAGAAAAAGAGGGGGTGGCTGTGGTAGGCGGTTGAGCCAGCAGTAGACGCGGCGGGTCCTAACGTCCTAACCGTGTAAACCAACATCAAACGACAAAAAAAAAAAAAATCAAGAAAGTTCATGCGACAGTACGCAGCCCGAGGTAGATCGCTCGATCGTGTGGAGAAGCACGAACTAGCAGAGAATACGACACAAGACAGCTGTGATGCAACGACCACAGGGATCACGAACGCCGCGTTCGCAAAATACGCATCGCCGTTGTTGTTGGTGGTGTTGGTGTGATGGTACCTGACGAAGGCATCGACCGCAGCGTTTAGGGCCACCACGTCCGGTACTATCCCCCTCTCCTTCATCTCCCTCATCGTGCTCTCCACCCCTCCAAGACGCCGCTGCCGCCCGTACCCCTTGAGGAGCACGCAGTACGTCACAGGGCCTAAGCAGCGCAATACGATACACGTCAACAATAACAAAAACAGAAATGTTGTCGGTTAGAGAAACAGTGTGAGGAAAACGCATCCGTGAGAAACCCGTGTCTCTTGTCCTTGGTCTCTTGGTGAAAAAACGTGTGCGAGGGCGACAACATACAGTATGAACTGAGCGACGAAAAACTAGGCCCAGCGTCTATCTAATAGGAGAGAGGGGGGGGGAGGGAAGTCGCAGCGTAGCAACTATTCGAGACCAGGCGAGCATAAAGGAAGAGAGGCGCCGTATATTCCCATCTTCAGGGTAGGGAGGTGGATGCACGATGCACGCGCGCACACCCCATTTCAGCAAACCGTCCCGCGCAAGCGAAAATACAACAAAACGGTGTTTTCTTGTATTCGGCCGCAGACGGAAGCCGAGCGCCCCAACCGATCAGAGTCTGGCAGGACCAAAAAGCAAGTCAAAGACTGGCAACGCCTAATAGATTATTTACGGCGTAGTGTAGTGTACCTTACCTTTGGGGATGCGATGGGTTTCCATCAGGGAGGCGATCTCTTCGGCCAGCCCCATCCGTCCCTTCACCGCGCAGAGGTCAAGCAGAATAGAGCAAACCTTCCCCGAAAAACAAGGAAGAGATAGAGAGGAGGGGAGGGAGGGAGGGAGGGAGGGAGGGAGGGAGGGAGGGAGAGAGACACACACACAGACACACACACACAGAGAGAGAGAGAGAGACGTGTTGGTGTTAGAGAATGCTTACACACCTACACGGAAGCAAGCACGGGTGCCTCCCGCGTCAACGGAAAGGGGTAAAACAACGCGGACGGCGGAGGAACGCAACACACAACAGGCGTGTGCCGTGGGCAACACAATGCGTGCGTTTCGATCCACCGTACCTATGTATATGGCATGTATGTATGTATGCTACATGCCTGCTCGTCGATGCCCCCCACGCCAGCCCTCAGCGCCTGACGCAAGACCACCAACGCCTGGTCGGCCTGCCCGACGGAGCGAAGGCCTCTGAAAAACAGCACCACAAAAAAAAAAGATAAAAGCAAGACCGACTTTCAGTGTTCAGAGTCGGCGGCAAGGCAAGGAGGGCAGGTCCACTGGGAGCAGAAACACGGAGCCCCCCAGAGAAGGGGGCGAAACAAGAGCCACATGGTATCAAGACATACCCGCAGGGTGACACAACACCTACCACCACAACACCCTCTCCATCGTACGCGTATGTAGAGGGGAAAAAAAATAAACGTAACCGGTACCACAACAGACAGCAACACAGCGTGCGCCAACGACAAGGAGAGGCACAGCGTTACAAGGAGAAGCGAAGTGTTCCGCGTGTACAACAACACAAAATACAGGCCAAATCTCCAAGCCAGAACGACAGCAGCAGCGCGAACGCTCAATGATTAGATAGGAGTTCTACTCAATGTTTAGATAGGAGTTCTGCTCAATGATTAGATAGGAGTTCTGCTCAATGAGTAGATAGGAGTTCTGCTCAATATTTAGATAGGAGTTCTGCTCAATGTTTAGATAGGAGTTCTGCTCAAGGCGTGAAGAGAAACACCGGACGGACCGCTCTGATTTTCCAAGAACGGCTCCAAGAACGGTCGGGCAACAAACTCCACGAGCGGTTAGCGTCGAGGTACCCAACATGCGACACACGTCAGTCACAGTATGACGCACACGAGAATGACATGGGAACGTCGCACAGAAGACACTGGATTGCTTCCTTGCTTGCTTGCTTCGCTGCCTAGGTGGCATGGCTCGGACGCCTTTACCTTGCAAGCGATCTCCAAGTGGACTGCTTGGGGCTGAGCCCCCTCGGCCGAAGGTCCTCCAGGAGAAGCCGGAACACCTCGAGGCCGGAGGTCCAAGAGCCCTGCGACATATTTGAAGGGCCCAACAAGGGTAACAGAAAAGGACACAACTCATTAAATTTTTGTTCTCTCAACACAGTATGACACAATGAAACCATATCTATCCACAGATGAGAGTCTGGGAAAGATGAGCAAATAATTCATAGAGTTCGTAGAACGTTCCTGCGTTCCTCGGTACCTGTTTTTCTACGTCTCTCGCCAAAGCACCCTCACTCGGAAAACCGCCTAAGATGACCCAACGGTGGCGCAGCGAGGAGCGGAGAAACACAACGTCCCCGCACCGGCACCAGCACTACTCCCCCCCCTGCTATCCGGGAACCCCGCGGGCGACAACACAAGCAGCTATCGTCCTGTACGCCATCGGAGGCCAACATCCCATTTATTGGCACATCCCTTTCCCTTGACCCGGTTCATTTTGCTCCTCGTTCGGGGGCATACGCGCAGGAAAAATACGACCGGTAGACGGCGGCATGCTCTCTCTCCAATGTGTAACAATCCCCCCCCCCCATTTCACG